TGCAGATGGTACCAAAATAAGTAGGCAATGTTCTAATTAAAAAAAATCTTAAATACCATTTAGGGGCATATTATATTGTTCATAATGTGTTCTTTTAAAGGAAAATTTTTATCAAAAACATGTGGTTGTGATCAGCTGTGTGGGCTGTATGTCAGGCAACCTTGTGACTGGCGTGGTAAAAAGACGAAACAGATCATAATTACTGTATTTTTCCTAAAAGGATCCTTGTGAAGTGTTTTACTAAATAGTTGGATTCTCCTTAATGATTTATTAAGGTAATTTTGATAAAAGTTTACATAATATTGCACAACTAACAGCAATGCCAACAACAAAACAAGCACCAAAAAGAAATTCGAAGGGAAGAGGGAGCAGACACCGGTGTATCAGATGTACAGTGTCTGAATGAGAGGTGTATAAACATGATTTCAAATCCTGAAGACATTATAAAGTTTCTTTCAATAAAAGACATAGGGTGGAATGAACACATACTGTATGCCGGAGAAACCAATGAAGAGAGCAGTATGACTCAGTGAGAGCCGAGAGTATGGAACAGATCACAGTAACACATTACAAAGAGGATTCTGCTATTGTGTGGGGAGAGCAGGTCCACAACTCCAGACCTTTTCAAAGTTAGCAAAGTTACCTCTATTTTCATATGTTAAAGTATAACACGGAAGCATAGAGTTAATTTGACGCTTCCGCATATCAAGAGACAAAGGGTGCAGGGTTTTCCAAGTGAGGACGATACATTTTTTTGCATAGAAGAATAGGCTTCTCAAAAACTTTTTGCAATGAGAGTGATGGGACTTTTCCAAAAAGGTCCAGAAGGCATACCGCTGGCAAGGGGATACCGCGAGAGTGACAAATAAATGACACAATTCTGTGCCAGAAATTAAAAATGGTATTATATAAAATGGTATTATATACCCAAACAGTGTGGAAGAAGTTTGCTACATCCTGGCAACCTTTAAAACAGGACTGTTGAGAGCACAGTCCAAGTGTATATAATTTTGTTGGAATACAGTACATTTAGTAAAACAATTGAAGCTGATAAATTAAATCTGCCCCTACACTGTAATATTTTCTTTGTTCAACCTGCGCCCTGAAGGTAGAAAATATAACAGATTTCTCCATCAACGATTACGAGCGTATATGGAGGAATCTCCAGCTGTCTTGATTGTATGCTGACGGTGGCCAGCAGCCACTGTCAGAATACATGAGCAGAGTGGGCAGCAGACTGCCGACTTTGTTCATTTTTTTTTAAATTCTTTATTTATAAACAAAGAGGCGGGATACAGAGAATATACACAAAGTATCTGGGCCACATGGCCGCACTTCGATCCAAGGCAAAAAAAAAACAACCTGACGATTAATGTAATGACACAGAACCATGGGAACATCTTAAACCATATCATCTCAAACAATATCAGAGAATATAAAGTAAATATTGAGCATAACAAAAACAATACGATTCAGGTTGGACTCTCTCCATCCCATCCCCTCAAAATGGCATTTTGTGGTTATAAAACAGGGAGACAACAGTGCTCTGTGGCATACCGCAGGGTCCAGCCCACTACCGTGGAGGGCCAGTACCAAGTCGGTCTATTCTACAGGACGCACATTAATTAAACAAACAAAACAACATAACATAGAGTAGAAAAAGGGTAAGAAACATAAACACACTAGGAGGGGTAGGGGGAAATTCCAGGTGGTGGTCAACTCCAGGACATCCGGCACGGATTACTCCAATCCCCGTCCTGAAAAGGCAACAGCAGGTCAGCCGGGACTCGCTCCATCTCTATCCTCCGGGTCTGCACATAGTAGCAAAGTCAGCTGAGTCCCTGAACAGGTACCACGCGCTCCAAGTAGTTACGAATCTGGCCTGGCTCCCGTTTAAGAAGGAGGTCAAATCTTCCATTAGCTTAATCTCCTCCACTCGGCTGACCCACATCTCGACAGATGGCCGTGTGGCTTGCTTCCACAATGCCGGAATACAAGCCCTTGCCGCATTCAGCAAGTGGATCAGCAAGGAACGTCGGTAGTTTTTATGTGAGAGTGGAGCCAAGTGGAGGAGATACACCGAGGGAGTGAACGGAAGTGTGAGGTCTGTGATTTTGCCGATCAGTGTGGCGATCTTGGACCAGAAAGGTCTGACTTTTGAGCAGGACCAGAAAATATGTAGCAGGGATCCCGGCTCTTCCCCACAACGCCAACAAAGATCAGATACAGAGGGGTACATCACATGGAGGGTCGTAGGGACTCTGTACCATCTGGTCAAAAGCTTATAACCTGCTTCTTGGTACTTGTTCGACACTGAGGATCTGAGGGCAAAACATATCATACGGTCCATCTGTCGGGGGCTCAGATCCACTCCTAGATCAGTGGCCCATTGTCGAACAAAGTACGGTTGGGGCAAGTCTGGGGGATTGCGGAGGCCGACTTTGTTAATTTGAAGATTTTCCAACCGCCTCCTTCGATCAGTTGATCAAGGGATGCCAGCCGACAAGGTGTCGCCAGCGCCCCCCACGGTGCGAATTCGCTTAGTGTATGGCCACCTTAAGATTAGGGTTGAGTAGGGTTGTCTACCCTGCTGAGGGAAGGGGCATTGGCACCCAGAACCTCATGTACACATTCATGGTAATGACCTGTACTGTCTATTATGCGAGCAATAATGTGGGAGTGTATTCAGGTATGGCAAGATATGTTAAAAGTTGTCACCGAATTCAAAATATATAGTTTAAATTTAGGACAAAACTATTTTTAGTAATAATCATGTATTAGTACATACAGATACTCCTCACTTAACAACCTACCTGTTTAACAACCGCTTGGACTTGCAAACAGCTCTCCGACCAGTTGGAATTGTACACTTGGGTCAAGCTCATCTAACATAACCCTTTCTCAGTCTGTCTCGTTCCTGCAGTTGGTCGGTCGGTCAGTCAGTATTCACTACTGTACTGTACATTGGTATTTGCAGTATGCAAACCTAAGTCATGTTCTGTATATTAGAGCTGATTTCCTCTGTTCCTCACTAAGTGACCAATTCGCATAACAACATAGTCGTAGGAAGGGAACTCGGTCGTTAAGTGAGGAGTGTCTGCATACTATAAAAGTCAGGAAAGGAATACAGACAGTGAACAAGTGTCCCATTACATCCTTACACTTGTGATCAATAGGAGAGGGAGGTACCTCATTAGATAGGGTTCAGTGGGAGATGGACCCCTTAGACTGCTGGTTAATGGGAGGAAGACCTTTTACATTGGTGATCGGTTGAGAAGTAGGAAAAGCACCCTCTTACACTGGTCAGCAGTGGGAAGAATGCCTTTTTATACCGGGTCAGTGCAAAGAATGCCCTTTACATTGGTGGTCAGTGTATGGCTCCTTACATTGATGGTCAGTGGTCCTGCCCTGCTTAGCCAAGTGATGTTGCTGCTGGAACTACGGCGTCAACATCAGTAAATTATTGGAGCCATCTTTTTTAAACAGGATAAGTTAATTTAGGATTTCTGGTGCAGTAACAGACACTCCATCAACATTTTTAGTTGTGGACATGAGAGCTAAATTCATATCTGCATAAAGTACTCATGTAGAGTTTAATTGTGCTGAGACGTTATGTGATACAAAACTCCTGTGTCCAAAACAATAAGGCTTATAATGCAAGCAATTTACATACCCCTCAACAAGTATATGGATTGCTTACTGTGTACTGTGCAACTCTTTGAACCTAAACTCTGTCTCTACAGTTACCATAAAGAAGAGAAGAAAATATTCTTTCACAATCATCTTTTCCAGTGACCAAATATTTTCTGTCTTAGTGTTTTGTATCCCATATCTGTTTGTGGCATGGAGATGCCAAAATATTTCATATCATATATTATTCCCTTATATAAGGGTAATACACTCTAAATGGAAATATACAAGTATACAAATGTGCATGTTTGTATATGTTCGAATTCACTGTGGTGTCAAACCTAATGCAAGAAACTGTAGCTAATTATTTTTTTTTTCATTTTGGATAGGGTGGAGAGGAATTACCATTTCTGCCATTTCTGAGTACTTTTTATGTCTATGGCCCCAGAGGGTAGATGTTCCCTCACTTCCTATCCCTGTGACACCAGGATAGAAATTGGTAATTCGATTGTCACCAGGACAGGAAGGCCCTGTAGTGGAATGTTGATATTAACTCCTACATTTCATATTGTTAATATTATTTAGCATATACGGTACATTATTATTATTCATAGTATGTAATAATTAAAGTCCGAGACATTGTAAAGCACTATATATACATATACATTCAACAGATGAACTTTAGATGAACCCTAACAGCATATAAGACACACTTGGCAAGTGAGAATGTGTCAGTCTATGTGCTTGGGCTGAGGTAGAATTCAAATAGAAGGGTTTAGATCAAGTTAGGAGACATACTGTGCGCAGGATGTAAGATTTATAGTTAGTGGCAGTGACGTAGGCCTAAGCATCCAATCATATTGTAGCCCTTATGGTTGTATTGTAACATTTCTTATAAAAAGGGGCCTGCAAGCCCTTTTTAACTGTTTGTTGCCAGCTGCAGTTATCATTAAACTTGCTAAATTAAGCTTCTTCCTGGTCCTCTATTTCAGCACAGACAGCAATAGAAACATTTCTAGAAGGTCTATGTTTTCCCATTCTATAAAAAATGTTTTACTGGGTCCCCATTACTTTCCCATTACTTCCGGTCTTAACTAAATATAGGGGGTATCCTTTTTAACAGGGACACAGATGACCATAATATCCCAATAAAGGCTCTAACCCGTTTCCCATGCTATCTAAAACAAAATCAAAAAGTGTTGGCTAGGATTGGGCTATAAGATGACGTCGGTCTCTCTTTGGGCATGCTTTTTGACTATTGATGATAATTTTGTGGTTTAAAGAAACAAGTGACATTGTAGCTATCATACAAATTACCAACAAAAAGATCAGATATTCTCTGTAGCTAACTGTTATGTTTCCATTTTCAGAAGTGAACATCCATTAGCACAACTATACTGTCATTCTATTATGGAGAACCACCACTTTGACCAGTGCCTCATGATACTAAATAGCCAGGTCAGTGCATACTTCTGATAGAGTCTCTGTGGACATGATTGTGGCTTAGAGAAGTAGGAAGAGATTTTCTTTATTGATTCATGATGGAGCAGATAATTAAACCAAACTAACAGCAATGGCATTAAATCTCATTGAGAGAAAGAGAGAAATGCACAAGTAATATGCCTGCAAGTATTAGTTAAAAGTGACACATATGAGCAGGATTCCCTTGGAACATACTCCATGTTCATCATTTTTTATGTAACTATGCAGTGAATTTATAGCATATAAATCAAAATCACTGTGTTCTAGAGGAGATTGAAACAACATAAAAATCACTTTTACTTTAAACTATCTGTGTAGCTACTGCCAGATAATGGGAAATCAGTGTATTTGGTACCCTCTGTTAAGACCTCGGACTGTGTTTCACAAAGCTTCCTAGACCTGCGTGCTCTTTACAATGTTGTCTGCCTAGACACAGCAGATAATTCCTTAAAATGGCTGCACACACATTGAATTTAGCATTCCATTGTAGGATTAGCCTGGACAATGACAGAATATATTACTTATCTAATTAGTGAACTTAAAAGAGAACTATGGGGTAAGTGTAAGTTCTCTTTAGGATCACGAGTGGGCATATACTAACCTCCTCCCATGACCCAAAGCTCAGTATATTGCGGGCTATTGCTCATGATATACTGAGAGCGCCGGAGCTGGGACGGATCCCGGCAATACTGCCTGGATCCACCCAGCTGGCTGAGTGACAGTGGGCTCTGCCTATCTAGTGGCAGAGCCAGCTGTGCCCGCCCTCACCTGTCTGTTCCTCCACTCAGCGCTGGAGGGGAGTAGGGGGAATCCCTGCGGGGAGTGGGGACTGACTTTTACCGCTCTCTGCAGGGAGATGATCGGAAACTGAGTGTGCGACGGTATGTGTTCGCTCACTTCCCAATCAATAGAGCCGACCTGTGACAGCTTCTTTGTCACAGGTCGGCTCTAACTATGAGGATAAGTGGAAATCACTCACCTCATAGTTCTCCTTTAAGCATGTGAAAATGTTCCTTTTTATGTTACAGTATTCCTTTAAAGTATATGTATAGACAAAACATTTGTTTTAGTTTTGGATAGAGTCAGGAATGGTTCAAATCGCTGCCAGTTTATTTTGGGGGGAAATTTCCTTGCATTTCCTGTCCCAGAGACCCAACAAGATGTTGAAGAATATCTCTTAAAGTGAAAGGACAGTTTCCCTTGTTATAGGCACAATTCTAACATTTCCCCTCACCTTTTATCAGTGATAACAGTCACTAGTACAAATAAAAGGTTGAATCTCCCCAATGGATACACAGACAGCAATAAAAACTTAACAGAGTGTGTAACCTTACCCCGCTCATACAAAACTAAAAAAAACGAGATACACATTAAAAAGTTATCTTTTCTGATTTTTATGTTTTTCTTAAATGCTAGAGTTTGAAAGTTTGTATTTTGCAGGCATCTGCTGAGGCCATTGCTGTTTAGTTCCAAAGTCTGCAGACTTAATGATAAATTATAAGTAGGTTTGACTCTTTCTTTTTTATCATTCTTTTTGTGGATTGAGACTTCAGTGTGGGCCATATTAGACTGATGAATATTGCCGCTGAGTTCCCCTAAAGACATGCATTATAAAGCCAACTCACTACGCTCTACCTATAAAGAAAAGATAACTTTTTGGGACAATAACTTTTTACATTCTTATTTTTTAGTTATATGTGGAACCTGGTAAACTGAATCAGCTGCTCATATCTTTTGTCCTAAATACCCCAACAAAATCTGCCGTTATGCCTCACTCTATGCCAGTCTATCTGGGAGTTATTTGTTCCAGCACCTCCTGTTGCATCTTCCATAATATAAAGAAAAATCTCACTACAACAAGGAGAGTGAGAACCTTTCATAATGTACATAAACTGTGTGCAGACCCAGGAGCTCAAGAGCACGTATCTTACCAACAGCGTCCCTGGGAGAGAAAAGTGAAAGGAGGTTTAGTTCCCCGGCATCTACCAGAAACGGAGATATCAGTTCAGAGTGGACTGGTTCTTTAGTGTAAGAGCATCACATACATTTGCAGCACTTTTAAAAATATATGGTGATTGCTATATTTCTGTTGATTCTGGAGGAAAATGTAGTGTTAACTAATACTGTGCTTTTGTTCTCAGGGTAACCAGATTCTGAGCGGGCTTTCTGTTCAGGATTACAAGGCTGCACTGAAGATGATAAAACAGGCCATCCTCGCTACAGATCTGGCACTTTATATAAAGTAGGTATTCCAGGATCAGCAATGTATCTTCTGACTGTTCTATTATTCTCTGCTCCCTCCAGTAAGATTATATTTGATTTATTATTTTTCGGGCATGGCTCAGTCTAACTGACCATAAAAGGAATGCCTGAGTTATGTCTTTTTGGCAGTATTCAGCTTTTCTGTGCGTCACGAATAATCTGTCTTATGCCGTCAAGTTTCGTATAGGTAACATCATAACACAGCCACAAGCACTGGTCAGTTTACTTAATACAGTCAGATAGAGGTTACTGTTGGGTATTAAACACTGTGTTTGCTTTGCAGGAGGAGAGGGGATTTCTTTGAACTTATAAAAAGAAAGAAATTCAAGTGGGATGATCCAACACAAAAAGAATTGTTTGTGTAAGTATTAAGTATGGGCATGGACGGGAGTAGGGATGCACCAATACCATTTTTACTAGGCCTAGTACAAGTCCTGATACTTTTCCTCAAGTACTCACCGATGCCAGTTACCGATACCTTTTTTTTCTTTAGTGTTATGTGACAGTTTTTCTAAAACAATACAGACTAATGATTTTAGGACAGTCGTGGAGAACCAGGACCCGTTCACATCAGCTACTGAATCACATGCCGGCCGGCTCCCTTCGTTCTGGGCCGGGAGGGGGTTTAGCGGTACATTCAAGTCAATGGCACCGCAGCCACATCCTCCTGCCTGCAGTGCGATCGCCCGTACCAGAATGCGTGGCACATCAGTGCCAACGTTCCAGTCAGTTGTGCGATCGGAAAAAATGCTGCATGCACTATTTTTTGCGATCGCACTGGACCGAAACACAGGCACTGATATGCCACGCGTTCTGGGGGTGGCGGGGTGTGTGGCTGCAGTGCCATTGACTTGAATGCACCACTACACCCCCTCCTGCAACAGAACGCAGGAACCCAACCAGGATGCATCCCAGCAGCTAATCGTGCTGGAACGCACTGGAGCTGGTGTGAACAACCCTATACACACACACAGACATACACACACACACACTCTCTCCCTCCCTTCTTCCCCCATACCTGCCGCTCGGAGCAGGAGACAGTTCAAATAAATAATAAACGATCCTCTGACTACACACAGTGGCTGGGAGGAATTGCTTTGGGGATGCTCCAGAGAAGGGACATGACAGGGCTCACAGATAGCAACACATGCAGCTTAAACTCACAGAACAGGGGGTGGGGGCGGACCTGATATTACACAGAGAAATAACGGTGCATCTAGATCTTCTCGTCCAGTGTTATGTGAGCTGCTTGTGCACTAGCACCGGCTCTGCCTGTAAACTTTACACTAACCGTCCCTGAGAACCTTTCACTAACCTTTTCTGTAAACCGTAAACTAACCCGCCCTGTAACCCTTACACTAGCCTTTCCTGTAAACCTTACATCAACCTTCCCTGTAAATCTTACACCAACTCTCCCTGTAACCCTTGTTGGTTGTTTGAGGCATGGAACTCCTTACACATATAATAACACTTACACTAATGCTCCCTGTAACACTTAGACTAACCCTCCACATAACCCTTATGCTAACCCTCCATCTTTCCCTTACAACAGGGGTGCCCATAAGGTCGATCGCGATCTACCAGTCGATCGCGTAGCGATCACTGGTAGATCGCCATGTCCTCTCCTCCCGCCGCTTCTCTGGATCCCCGCTGCTCTCCCCAGCGGGGATCCGAGAAGAAGTGAAGGAACCGGCGGCGGGGGAGGACAGAGCCGCTGTCACTAACTAATGCATAGCAGTGAGGAGAGAGAGAGAGACGCTCGGCCAGGATCTGACAGCCGGCGCCTCTCTCTCCCTCACTGCTCGTCCGTTCTGTCACAGCTCCTGTTCATTCATAAGTTTCTCAATGGGGAGAAGCACTCTGTACAGAGGCTCCTCCCCATTCAGAAACAGCTTGATAGTAAAATATTTTCTTAATGAATGGGAAGCCTCTGTGCTTTCCATTCATTTAGAATAGAGACTGCAGAAAAAGAGATTGAGGACTTTGTGTCCTCAATTTCTTTTTCTATTTTAAAAGGGAAATATCAGGGGGCTTTTTAGACCCCTAATATTTCCCCGAAGCCCCCCCAAGAGTAAAAAAAAAAAAATTATGAAAATTTAAAATAAATAAAAATAAATAATGAAAATAAAATAAAAAATAGTAAAAAATAAATTTAAAAAACTTAGTTTTTTTTCCTTGCCTCAGGCGCAAAAGGAGCTGGCTACGGCTATGCTCCCGTGGTGCTCATGCGGCTGCCGGCTGAATGTGTCAGACGCTGCAGATGGAAAGGTGCAGGACACCCCATGTGCAACGTCGGCCACACGAGCACCACGGGAGGACAGGACGCCGGGACCTGTAATGTACTGGAATGCACTGGAATGTAAGCAGGCCAACTCCCTGCTTTCCGGTGCGGGAGGGGGTGTGGAGCTGTATTTAAGTCAATGGCATCGCCCACAGTGCGATCGCCCGCACTCGGAGCGCAGGCACATTAGTGCCTGCATTCCGGTCCAGTGCGATCTGCAAGAATAGTGCTCGAAGCATTTTTGCGGATTGCACTGGACTGGAACACAGGCACTAATGCAGGCGATCGCACTGTGGGCGAGGGGCCTGCCTGCGCAGCCCACGCCCCCTCCCGCCCCTGAATGCAGGTGTTTTTTCGTTGGTAGATCTCAATGAGCTCGTCATTTGAAAAGTAGATCTCCAGATGAAAAATAGTGGGCACCCCTGCCTTACAACATCCCTTTTTGTAACCCTTACTCTAACCTTCCATGTAAACCTTACACTAACCTTCCCTCTAACCCTTTTAAATACCCTTTCTGTAAATATTACATTACCCTTGCTGTATCTCTTATGCTAACCCTCCTTGTATCCTTTGCATGGACTCTCCCTGTAATGCTTACACTAAACCTTAAAGGAGAAGTATGGGGTTAGGGCTTTTCCCCATAGTTCTCCTTAGGGTAAAGGGAGGACACAAACTAGCGTCTTCCCGTCACCCTAAGCTCAGTATACTGCGAGCTACAACTCGCGTTATACTGAGACGCCGCCGCTGAAGCGGATCCCGACAATTATGTCTGGATCCGCCCAGCTGCGTGAGTGACAGCTGGCTCTGCCTATCTAGAGGGGGGGAAGAGCCTTTAATGTTACTTATACGAGCCTTTCATTATCAGGGGTGTGGAAATGAAGAAAAAAAAACTACTTGTCCAAGGGCTAAATCGTGGGCCCAAATCTATTTGTCCTTCATGACAATCTACTTGTCCCAATCCAAAAAAATTGTTTTAATAAAAACTAAGGCTGCACCAATACCGTTGGAAGCAGGTTTCCCGGCCAATCACAATCAAGCAGGCCAAACAACATGGAGCCGGCTTCCGCGGCAATCAGGAACCTGGGCGGGAAACTGGTTCGATGCTGATTGGCCAGGAAGCCGGCTTTCCAGCCAATCAGCAAGGAGCCGGCTTCCCGGCCAATCAGAAAACCAGGAGGCGTGTCATTACTTGCCGCACGGCTTCCTGATTGCACGGGAAGCTGGCTCCATGTTTCCCTACGGCACTGCCAGTCAGAGGAAATTTTCATCTGGCCGTAAGTACCAATAACGGGGAAGGTATCGGAGCATTTGGGTGAGTACAAGTACCCGCCCAAATACTCGGTATCGGCACTGATACCAGTATTGGTGCACCCCTAATCAAAACATATTTGACTGTGCTAAATAGCGCTTCTCACTGGTCAGCACAGTCATCTAACCACGTTGACCAATGAGTGCTTGCAATTTGCGAGCGAAATTCAAAATGCATAGGGGAGGACTGCGCTGGACAGCAGTACGGGGGACAGATAGTACACCCATACTGATGGAGGGGAGGGATTGTTCGCCGAAAGGTAAGTATGCCCAGTGGGTGGCGGTTTGGGAGAGATGGGGCCAGATTTAATCGGATAATTTTTATTTTTCCATATTACCTGGGAAAATTAACTTACCCTTTAATGCACATTGTGTGTGTGTAAGAGAATTCTGGCTGCAATCTTAAAGCACATGCAGAATGTCCTACGCATGCGTTTATTTGCATGCAGATGGCGGGGCCAGCAGGGTTTCATTTGTATTTTTTTATTTTATTTTATTTTTTACTTTTGAGCAGACGTTCTTCGTCTGCTCTACGGGCTCTATGGCTGAGCCGTTGTGCCGTAGTCTTCGGGGTCCCCCAGGATAGCGGGGGCCCCCGAAAACTATGACGGGGGGTGCGGGCAGACACGATCGCCACTGCTCAAATTGATACAAGTGGTCTGATCAGACCACTCATAGTAAACGAGCGGCGGCGGCTCCACATTGTACATTCAGCTTCACTTGTCCGGAGCCGGGCTAAATGTACATAAAAACTACTCGCCGGCGCCCGAAACGGCATGTCCCGGGCGTCGGGCGATAGGAATTCCACATCCCTGCTTTCATGCTCTCTGATTCATATCAGTGCATCCTAATGTTTAAAAGCCCAACTCTGACCATTTGTTTCGGTCATGGAAAGAATAGAGAAGGATTAGAACCTCAGTTATGTTTATTTTGCTCTCTGTGACTCTCTGATAAGGTTGCCCCTCTCTTCCTGACCAGTGCCCACACAGAAAGTGAAGGAAATGTGCCCCCCTATCAGGTATATGGATAGCAACTAAACACGGACAGAGTTCAAACCATCCTCCCCTTTATCCGAAACTGGAAAAGGTTGGAGTTGAGCTTTTTTGTGGTTAGTTTTTCATACATATTATGTCCTGTGAGTTGAAAAAATTGGAATTTCTTATATGTATATTTTGCTTTTTGCCATTAACCGATCAGCAACCATTAACAGCAATGATAAGATAAACCAGAGTGGAATTTGGGGGTTTTCCAGTTATATCAATAAACATCTTTCTTGCAAGACTTTGTCTCCATGGTAGAAGTCACACATGCACAGTCCAGTTTTAGGGAGGCCTATGCAAACAGGACCTAGAGCTTGCTTTCTTTCTTTTCTTCTCTCTCTCTCTCTCTTTCTCTTTCTTTCTTATTAAAAAAAATCAAGACAATATCACCAAAAGAAAGCATTGTTTCGCCTACAAAAATTATATTTGTATTACCTTGTTATTACAAAGTTATTGTCAACTTAACAGGTCCATTACAGAAATGTAACAATCCTCTGGTCCATGTGGGGTATAGGTGTGAGAGCTGAACTAGTTAATAACATAAGTTAGGAAAGAAAGAGTAAGCCCTAAACTACAAACTTCCATTAGGCTGTACAGGAACCCAAGTTTCAAATGTGATTTTGTGTTTTCTGCAGGGCAATGCTGATGACTGCTTGTGATCTGTCTGCAATAACAAAACCCTGGCCAGTTCAACAGCGGGTCTGTATTTAACTCAACCTAGCCCATCCCTGTATTTTTATTGTAAATATGATTTACATGAGATATTTAATTCATACTAACAAAATGTTGTTAACCTTCTTCTTATATGTTGAATGTTTTTTAAACTTTAACCTGAAGTGACAAATATGGACCATTTTAGACTTCCTTACTAAAATGCTAGTTTCCGGTTATGCTGATCTGCTGACTTCATTACTGTCTCTGTTCACTAATCTAGATTAAGCATGCAGATAGGAAAGTCATAGAATAGTCAAAAGCCCTTACCTACATACTTTTTCTGGGATAATGACTCCAAGTATTAAAGCAAGGGGGGCAGTTATTTTAGAAGGAGATGTCAACTATGGCAGTCTCCATGTTGCTCTTGTGACATATTTCCTTTATGGTAAATACAATGATCACCTATAACATTATGACCACTAAATATTATATCACTAACATTGAGCAGGTTTCCCTTTTGCCCCTAAAAAACACTCACCTGTCGAGGCATGGTCTCCACCATACCTCTGAAGGTATGCTGTGGTATCTGGCACCAAGCCTTCAGTAGCAGATCCTTTAAGTCCTGTAAGTTTCAAAGTGGGGTCTCCATGGATCGGACTTTTGATCTGGAGAATTTGGAGACCAAGCCAACACCTCAAACTCATTGTTGTATTCCTCACACCATTCTTGAACCATGTTTGCAGTGTGGCAAAGTGCATTATCCTGCTGAAAGAGGCCACAATGTTTAGGTAGATGGTATGTGTCAAAGTAACATCCATATGAATGGCAAGACCCAAGGTTTCCCAGCAGAACATTGCCTAAAGTATCACACTGCCTCCAACGGCTTACCTTCTTCCCAGACATGCACCTTGCCATACACATGACGTAAAAGAAACCGTGATTCATCAGAGCAGGCCACCTTCTTTCATTGCTTCATGGTCCAGTTCTGATGCTCATGTGCCCATTGTAGTGCCCATACAAACTGCGATTACTGTGTGTTCAGAAACCTTTCTTTCGGAACGAGCATGAACCTTTTCAGCACATTGAGCTACAGTAACTTTTCTATCAGGTCAGACTACATGGGCCAGCTTTTGCTCCCCATGTGCGTCAGTGAGCCTTGGCCACTCGTGACCCTGTCATCAGTTCACCTGTTTTCCTTCCTTGGACCACTTTTGGTAGGTCCTCAACACTTTGGCCTTGTGATGGCTCCAACTAGTCATTTTGGAGTTTGCACAGGCTTTCGTTTGCTTCCTCCCAGCATCTGAACGGACCTGTTGGGGAGTGAAGGAAAGGTAATTGTATGCTGCTGGGCAGAGGGAATATTAAGTGACCCTGTTATTTTGCCCTGCATGGACAAAGTAAATGGTAATTTTAATGCTAAGGGGCATTTTTTTTTTAAACAAAAGTATATTCAAAGTACATACCCTTGACTACATTAAAACATATCTTGGTATTGACCTCATCTGTTAACAAGAGCAGTATACAGTATTTTGCTATTTAAGTATATCATTCCAGCATAAGCAAATTTGGGGAGGAATGGTTTGGATGGTTCATGCATAGTAAAAACATTAGTCCAACCTCCTCAACATTGTGTGGATGCTGAAAGGGAAAGAGTTGGCCAAACAGGAACTGCTTTCCTATAATAATTGTGAATGCATCACTGTAAGTGGTGTGGCACATGACACCCAAAAATAAGTAATCTAATTCCATATAAACATGTAAAAAAATAATGTAATGTAACATAGCTGCCACATGCCAGCAAAGCTTTGTGGGTCCTGGGACACAAAAGCTAAACCAAATACATTAGCTGAGGATAAACTGGTAAATAAATGACAATAAAATATCAACTAAATAATGGTGGGTATATAAATTGCTAATTCGTACACATGATAATGATCAAAATGTGTCTGCAACCTCACCTTATATAGTTATAGGATCAAAGTTACAAAGTAATCAGCACTTCATCCACCTGAAAGAGGAACATCTATATACAGCTCCAAAGGCAAAGTAATGTCACTGGTGTATATAGACTTCCAACACACAAACAAGCCTACTAAATACATGTTTGACGAGACTTCTCTATGTATTTATAGGTATACACATTACCAATATATGCTCCCTGCATAAATATAAACAATCTTTTTAGGCTGCCATACATTCAAAGAGAAAACTGTCCACGATGACCACAGTATGTTTTACTTCTATGTTCTGGTCCTCATAATATCAGGGAGCTGTAGGGGGATATACCACAGGATAACCTATGGACAGGAGGGCATAAATTGAGTCTATATGAAACACAAGATGTGAAGCCATGAATGTATCAAACATAGGCAGATGTATTTCTTTGAAGCACAGTAAAATATTTACAACGCAATCATAACATTAAAAATAGAAACAAATAAAAAGACGATTTTAACAATGTGGATGATGTGGCACCAGATGGAGCCCTGGGCCGCTGGCCAGTAAGTAGAATTTCTGGAAAACAGATAATAATGCAAGCGGAAAGCAGAAACAATGGATATAATTATCTGAATTGCATGGGTCAATTTTAGAAGGTCAAGTGAAAGCATCATTATCTGTCTTGGCTGCTCACTTTATGGGTCAGATTGCTTGGGGTGTAGACAAGGACATTCATGAGAATCTGTTTGCTGCAAGTGGCGATCATGGTTCTGTCTTTTTAACCGTTTCTAACGTCTTCCTTCTATTGTAAAAGTGCTCATAGCACATGGTTATATGAATGTTGGGTACAGCTCCTGTAATAAAAGCTCCTTGTTTATCCAAGCTTCCACATGGTAGAGGTATGGTGCCATAATAATGAGCAAATCCAATGAGTCAGACAGAGGTGTCAAGCACCGCTAGATGCTTTGGTCCACAGAATACAGCTCAGTGCTGAATGAAGCCAATATTTGGCAAATTATGTACTGAGTATCTAAGAATTTAACTCCTTTATGACTGAGCTTTTTTTCCGCTTCTGTTCCTTAATGGCTGAAGCACTTTTTAAATTTTTGCTGTGTGATTCTTTCACAGCAGTAATATACTTTTTTTACTAAGTGTACACACACATATTATATATTGTTTTTTACTGGACAGATAGGGCAATATGATTATATCACATATGTGTACCTATTGCCTCACTTAGGATGAATAAAATATAAAATAATTGTAAAAAACATAAAGAAAACACTTTTCCCCCAATTTTGATCATTATTATTTCTTAGAAAAATAGCACAGCTAAAAAAAAAAAAGCATTAAAATAAATTAATTTATTTGTCCTTTTTTTTTAGAAACACCTCACATTCCTAGGGTCTTTTTTTTTTGTATTCTGACACGAAGCCGTGTCAGAATAGAAAAAAAAAAATTTGCCCATTGGAATGCATTGCTAGATTCCTATTGGCTATTTCAATTTGCAATAGCCTATAGTAAACAAGCATTTTACCCGCCCTCTGCTGCAGTTCTCCATCAGGTCCATTAGCAGAGGGCGTGTACACCGCTAGTTTACTATTGGCTATTGTAAATTGAAATAGCCAATAGGAATCTAGCAATGCATTCCAATGGGCAAAAAAGTTTTTGTCTTTTTTTTCTATTCTGACATCGCTCAGTGTCAGAATAGAGGGGGAAAAAAAAGAAAAATCAGTGTTTTTCTTCTAGGTGGCTGGGAGCGGGAGGCTCCCAGAGCGCCCGGGAGATAGAAAACTGTTGGGCGGAGCTACCTGTCACTGCTAGCTCCGCACAATAGTTTTCTATTTACTTTTTTAAACTATTTTTCTGTTCTGCTCGGTCCCTCTGAGGCACCGAGCAGAACAGCCGAGCCGAATGCCGCTCAGCGGCATTCGGCTATTCACTCACTGCTGTTCGGCATCTATAAGAATAGGCCGAACAGCAGTGAGCAGCCTGCCGGAGGTTTGGCTCAGCCGATCCAGGTGTTGGATCGGCTGAGTCGAACTCCTTCTGCACTTCAGATCAGCCGAACATGCTGAGCATGTTCGGCCGACCTGAAGCCATGCGAAGCAAGCCGATGTACGGCTGATTTCAGCCGATATATGGCTGAAATCAGCCGTACCAGCCTGAAGTGAATAGCCGAACAGTGTTCGGCTCACTTCACTTCAGGTCGGTCATTCACTCTGCTGCCTATGGCAGCTTAGGGAATAGACCCCTATGTTTTATGTACAATAATGTTATAATAAATAATTTCACCGATTCTGATTAATCTTTTATTGACAAATGGTTGTAATGATCAACTTAATGCAAGTGAATACATTTATAAACAAAGGAATCTGTGACCAGTATACGAGGTGACAACTGCAAAGTTGTCTGCGAATGGTAAGTTGTAACTTCATGGGCCCATAAACTCCTCACCTCTTCACATTGCTGGAAGTAACTGTGATGTCTACATTGAACAGTGTTTTTATGTTATAAAAATAAAACTTTATGTTTTCAGATAGCAGAACTTGTCGCTACAGAATTTTATGACCAAGGGGATAAAGAGAGGAGGGAGCTGAATATCGAACCAATTGTAAGTATCAGCTTCACTGTTCCATTTGTATCCTTAAAGTGTCCTATTCAAATTTTAAAGTGGAACTTTGGAAAACACCCAAAAATGACATATATGATGCAGTCTGCCACTAGCATTACCACTGCAGTTTTTGGAGTCCCTCCTGTAACATAGTTTTATTACCCATTGATCCTGACAGCAGACCAGAGGCGCGTTCAGTTGCTCAGCCAGGAGGAATGCGGAGTTAGCAAACCACCGTTAAACGCTGTCCTTCAAGTCAGCCCTCAGCACTGCTAACTTAGCACTTGCAGCGGAGTGTGACGTGCATAGTAGGAGAAGTTGGGGACAGAGCACCAGCGGCCATTGTAACTGTGGGCACACCTGGCAGCGATGGAGAAGGGTGCCTGACCCCAAAGGGGAAAATCTGAATTGGAGAATTTCTCCGAATGAGCTATGTTGTCCTAGATTGTTCACTTCTCCTGCCTTCTCCAAACTCTTCACCCTTTTGTGAATAACCCTGCAAATGTTTTGGTAAAAATTGTAAAACAATTGAAATTGTAAAACAGTAGAATTTGCACTAATGGCAGAGTTTAACACTGAATCCTTCACCATTTTGCTTAGAACTGTGCAGCCAAAGTGTTCAGTAAAGCTGCTACAGCAAACCGAAACACTGCAGAAGAGCTACTCGGCACTAGGCTAAGAAACTGAACTTGACTCTGCTATTTTTCCTATAACAGGGTGACAACGCTATTGATTCTGCAGTGAAACCATGCTACAGTGCTGTGACACTGTGGACTGGGAAGTTGTAGACGAACTTTAGATTAACATTAGACTTTAGGTTTAGATGGATTTTAGGCAAGTGGCAAACAAATCACAGCTCAACTTTGCTGATCATTTTAAGCAGTTAAAGCAACAGTTTCTTTTCTTTTGGGAAAATTAATAACATGTGACTGTTGCAAGCACCCATATAACTGCCAGTTTGGTTTCAGATTTACTGGCAAAATCAACAGGTAATAAAACAGTTGCGGGGTTGACTTAGAAAAAAAAGAGTGCTGAGTTAGTGCTATGTTACTACTCATATACCTGTATGTCATTTTTTACTTTGCCCATAGTTACACTTTAAGCTAGCCTAGTCACATTTGTCATGAGTTCACAGCAACATTTTTTTTAATATCAGAGTATGGTCTTGTATCATTCCCTTTTCTGCCAGGGCAAAAGAACAGTTCTTAGTTAGTGCAAAGATCTGCAACATCTGCAAACATGTGAAGATCTCTATATATGAATGTGCATTGCTCATAGACTTTGCTACCTTTGCTTTGCTAAAGAGGTTCTTTATTAAAAAGTTACTTTAAAGCCTAACTTCAGCCCAAATGTTATGTTCCAGTTTTGGGTAGAGTGGGAAAGAGGAAATTGTTACCCGATTAGGGAGATTTTCTCTTAACTATATGTCTTTGTGATGCCTGTACAGGTCGCATACACCAATAAAGATATTGTCAAAAGTTCTAAGCTTTCCCCACTCTACTACTACTGCTCTACTTTTTTTGTCTGTGTGATTGTTTTCCCTTACCCTCCCCTTTTCATTAAGGAACGCAGATTGCAATTAAAAAAACTGTGATTGAGACTCTAACCCTTCCCCGCTCTATCTAAAATGAAATCATTTTTGGCTGGAGTTGGGATTTAAAATGTTTTGAATTTTCTCCAATCGTAACTGCACCCCCTTTGCTACCCCATTCTGCTCGGCCAGAAGTGCATGTGGTTAGATCTTGATTGGGATAAACTTGGTTGCCAGTAAGGTGCTGTCTACTGGCGCCTTTACTCTTTTCCTTGGAGAACCCATTTAAACTCTACACAATCTGACAGCTGCTGGTTAGGTAAATTATGGAAAAGCTGCATCATACATGGCATCCCTTAAATTCATGCAACCAGCAATGCAGGATTTCCCAAGCTTTGCTTAGTTGTGTGCTGCCATTACAACTTTTGCAGGTCCCACCTACCAACGCCTATTTCAGGAGACTGTATTTACCAAAATGTCGGGAACACATACAAACCAAGGCACACTATCTTGGCATGCTCCCTGTGTTATCTGCTGGTATCATACATTCTCCCATAAAGCAGTTCTACAGAGAACTCCTGTGCCCTGCTGTACTTCCCCTACAATTAGGGTGAGTACTGCCGGCTATGGATGTCCGAACTCACTATATTAATGTATTACCTGTACTGCTTGTGTCATGTTAATTTTCATTTTTGGGAAAAGTCATGAAAGCCGAAAGTCATGTTTGACCTCCGTTTCAGGTGCTAACACTAGTTACATTTAAAGACGTATTAATGAATATCTAGCTGCAATCATTTGTGTATTTTATAGATGCCTGGAGTTCAGCTTTAAATGTCTGACCTGGTATGATCATGTTTCAGGATCTCATGAACAGAGAGAAGAAAGACAAAATACCCAGCATGCAGGTTGGATTTATTGACGCAATCTGCTTAGAGCTTTATGAGGTTAGTGTTTTGTGTTTGCTGTGTCTGCTTATGCTTTCCTCCTAACAATTAAAATGAAATTCTTCCATACTTCCATACTACATGTTGTTAAGGCTGTGGGGCTAAAGTATAAAATGGAGCAGTGGAAAAATACAACTGTTGTCCATAACGACCAGTCATGTGTTAGTGTTCATTTACTAAACTGTTGTTAATATTGAGCAAAGGCTGAGGTATATCTCCATTGCCTTTTTTATAATAAACCTCCATCCTCTCAGTAATTTAAGAAGGAATATACCTTTTTACACTTAAATACTTGTTTGGCTGGGAAAGGGGAGAAGGAATATGTAGAAATACTTACCTTACTTCTCACTCCCCTGGCAAGCAGTTATCTCCTACGCTGTCCCACACTCCAGGTTGTGGCCATGTCCTCAGCATCCTCTTATACAATGTAGGACTGCTGATTTGGCATTGTATGTGATGATGGCGGAGAGCTGCAATCAGCCAAACAGGAAATTGAAGCTGCTTCGGGGGACCGGAGAGGAGGAAGCCTGCAGGAACGCGGAATGGGCACTGCAAGGGTGAAATTAAAAGCAGCCCAGAGTTAGGCTGTAAGAGAATCCAAATACCAATGAGCATGTGGAAAGTAACCTACACAAGCAATCAGGTTTTAACAGTCCATACATTTAAGAGACTCGTGCTGACCAGTTACTATGGTTCACTATTCTATGCTCATCTCTGTGTAATATGCACATGTGTTTTGTATAAACGTGTCATTCAGCCTACTGGGTTTGAATGGAAGGAACAATGACATTCACTCATCCTTTTTTGTCTTTGCCATTTCTGTAGGCCTTAACGCAGGTATCAGAGTCTTGTTACCCACTGCTGGAGGGCTGTCTGAGGAACAAAGGGAAGTGGCAGGTTTTGGCCGAGCAGCAAGAGAAAGGTCTGATGAACGGAGACAGCAGTCAGCCTAAAATGAACTGTGACATTGAATAAGCAACAGCAACAGCAGCTCTCTTTTTTGTGGTACAAATTAGTATTACACTGTTTGAAACATGAAATATATTTTGCCACTTATATTTATTAATTTCACATTTTCGTTTAAGGAAATAATAAGCAAATGTAAATGAAATTACATTGTAATGTTTTCTACAGAAGCAATATATTTTCTGATGTATATAAGGTTACATCCACAGTTTGGAGCTCCTTGGGGATGTCGCTTGTTTGTATTGCCTCTTTAGGATCAGTGCCTTAATGCATGGACCGGTTCCACTTTAACTAAACAGAAGGTCACCTGTGGTGGCCAGCACAATGCTCCTTCAATAACACAGCACAATATGGAAATATTCTAACATCGCACTCCGTAAGCATTTCATACAGTGTGCTGAAGGACTGTCCGGTAAATATAGGTTGGTTTATTTAAAACATAGAGAGACTGGTAACTGTGACAATTACATATGTAAAAAAAAAATGAATATGGAAAGAGGCACACAAATGCTCTGTAGTACACCAGTGCGAGGAAGGGTGGAGATTATAGTTCAGGCAGCCTGGCTGCAGCTGTATCCCTTGCACCTTGATAAAGATGTTTTAAATAAGTGTGTGCTCTTGGCACAACTGACTTCCCAATAATAAGCTCATTAGAGGTACTCCTGCCTCTTTCTTGCCTGAAATGGTTAATAACAGAGAATGCTGCAACTGATATATAAACAACTAACACTAAGGGAAAAAAGGATGGTTCCCACAGCAAACATTCAGAGCTGTACTTTGATCTCCTGGCCTAGAATGGATCGAACGTGACCGGTTGTCATGTGCAGCACAGGTTTTTTTACTCCAGTTTAATTGGTGCCAATATGTTACCAGATCAAATTTAGGAACACTAAATGCCACTGGAAACTTGTACAGTTTGACCTCTACAAAAAGTGATATCTAGATCACCTGCATTCAGGGATATGCCTACAGCCCCATACAGAAGCATACACTGTCATTTGTAGATGTACCTGTACAGCCGCAGCTTCAGGCGTCCTGTCATTGATTTGCACAGGCTGGCTGTACGGTGCCCCTGTCACTTCTGGCCAGAGAAATATGCCGGGATGTATGCTGTACTAGCCTCTTGTGACCGTGTGCAAGAGGCCTAAGTGGCTGCTTCTTTAGTAACAAGTTCCAGAAGAAGATTGTATGCTGTAAAACCAACATTGTAAAAATGTAAGGTTCAGAAATTATTTTAATTTCTGCCCATTTGAGTGTCAGGTGGTTTGAAGACAGCCATTGATCTAAAGGCTGATGGTTGTATTATATTACCTTTGCATGATAGTACATAACATTGGCATCTCTGGTCATAATACATTCTCAGAATATGTGAAATCCCTACTCGGTGATTATAATAAGGCCATCCATTGCTAGCATTTCCATTTGGTAGACCTAAGTACTGTATATAAAGGCACCATATGTAATTAGCAGCATTCAAGATACAAACTACATCATTTGTTTTCTTCATATGCATTATTTCTTCCATTACTGCGTTTGTATTAATGCTGATTTCCTATATCTGGTCCAGTAATGACATACTGGATCTGAGCAGAATTTCCCTTATTAGCCAGCACAACCATTCACCATTCCAATACCTCCAAGAGTTTTAAAAAGTAAATTTTAAGGGGAATTCATGTTTTCCTACCTGTTTTGTTCTTTGTTATGGTTAGGAATATGCATTTTTTTTTTTTAAAGGTGTCGTCTTTATCTTGAGTCACGTAAATATAAAATATGGCATGTTATTATTTTGTATTCTCCTTTGCTGCCAGCAGGTGGAGTTTTAGTCTACATTTCACATGCTTTACAGAGACTCCTTTGCCTCTTTGTTGTAAAAGCCTGTTGTTGACAGTGCTCAATAGCTCAAGCTGCAATTTACAAATAGAAATGAGAGTCAGAAGAGCCATTCCTTACTAATTGCCTTTTCCAAGGCCACACAAAGCCAGACTACTTATTTGGATAACCCAAAGTGCTTTTAGAGTCCATGGTCTTAAATATTTATTTGTTTAACAATGATTGTATGTATATAATTAAAAAAAACAGATGTAACACATCAGCTTATAAACTATAAACTTTAAATAAATGTGATCCAAAGCAGTTATAGATTCTAGTAGAAATATTGTGAGGTTGTGAAATAGTATGTTGGCACTGAATAAAAAGTTACACTTGAGTCCCACCTCTTGGTGGCTTAAAGAATAAGGGGTGTGCTGGTAGAATCAGGACAAATAGGAGATTGTGACAAAGTGTGGTCCTTTCTATAAAGAATTTCATGGTTACAAAAGTTAGAAAATGCCCATCAAGTTCAACAGAAAAAAAACATCCTTCATCATTAGAACGCTAAGCCTTCAGCTGATCCAGAGGAAGGCAAAAATCCATTATGAAGCACGAGATCCAGTTTGCTGTAATGGAGG